ATTCCAAAGAAAAACAAAATTCCTTATCTCATAGACAATCAAAAATTACATGTATCCAAGCAAAAGTACACACATGTTCAGTTGTTCAAAAAAAAAATCCATGTCTCATCGATATTCACAGAGATTGCATGTATCCAAGTAACACACACACACCTTTCATTATTCCAAAGAAAAACAAAATTCCTTATCTCATAGATATTCAGAGATTACATGTACCCAAACAACATACATACATGTTCAGCTGTAAAATATTAACTACATTTCTATGACAAATACATTTTTTAAAACACCAAGAACACTATATACAGTTAATACAGAATTCTAAAGATAATCTAACAGTTGCAAAGTTTTTATTAAGTCTTCACTTTAGATGCTGTCATTTCAAATAAGATAAACAGTCAAGAGTCTCATATATACGCTCTAATTCTGCAATCTTAAGTTGTGACCATATTAGCTGGCTTGCAAACAAAAAGCCAACTATTTTAAGAATGTTTTAAATGAACATGTTGAAAACCCCAGGGATAGATAAACCCTGAGAATGTACAAACATGAGCATTTACAACTATCACAGCAGTGGCTGAAGATCACTGACAACGTTCTTCTGACATGAGATCTCAAACTGGAGTTCAAAATATACGGTTTTAACAAAAATATATGCACACTCACAATTTTTCCACCAATTTGTGTCAACCACTTGAAAAAAAACAATAGACAGCAGGAAGCCATGTTTAGCTATTTCAGTTAATATTCACAATTACAGTGTCTACACCTCAAAACACAGCATCACTAATGAAGCCCCAAACTAATTTATACTGAAATTAAAATTCTCTACACCAAGTAAATCTTATTTCCTCAAACTAGTAAATTATTCAATTTTTAATAATAACCTCTGGCCTGTGTATATGTATCTCAACTAAAACTTCAAGATTTGGGGAGGAGCAAATCTTGCCAGGATCACCTGCTCTACTTCTATTCCTCCATGAGCACTTAGAAACCTGGAGGAGGTTGAGGTGGGGGTTGGGGACCCTGGACACTTGCAGCGGCTGCCTGCTGGGCAGCTTTCTCCTTTAATACTATCCAGTCAAATACGTAGTCATAATGGTAGTTCAGCTTTCTGAAAAGAAGCCGGAAGAGCTGCCTCAGATATATGTAATCTGGGACTTCTTCAAAGCGCAGCCCACGACAATAGTTTAAATACGTGCTAAATTCTGTAGGGAACCCCTTACATAAGACTTCAACAGGAGTGGACATCTTCTTTTCACTAATCTTTTCGTATTTTTGCTTCTTTGTGGCAGCCTTTAGTCCCTGCCAAGGCAGGCTGGCTCTATTAAAATACATCAAAACATAGCCCAACGACTCCATATCATCTCTGCGACTTTGCTCAATACCAAGATGTGCATTGATGCTAGCATATCGAGCAGTGCCAGCAAAACTTTTATCTTCTCTGTATGGTATGTGCTTCCTGGTCCTGCTGTCTCTATACTTTTTGGCCAAACCAAAATCAATTAGGAATAACTGGTTTAACCCTAGGAAGGATGGCCCCTGTAAAGTACCAGCAGCCATTTCTCTTTTCCTCTTACCCATTGGGGTTTCTAAACACTTAGTACAATGGCACCCAATACCCATCAGGAAGTTATCTGGCTTAATATCTCTATGTATAAAATTTTTTGAATGCACATATTCAATTCTACTGATCATCTGGTCAGCTAGCATAAGTATAGTTTTCATTGTAAATCTTCTTGAACAGTAATTGAAGAGATCTTCTAGACTGGGTCCAA